TCCTGTGGGCACGCCACGGCAGCCAGCGGGCAGGTTTTGGCTCCTGCCCATCGAGGCAGTGGGCAAACCAGCAGCCGTCCAGTCTATGCCAGGCAGCAGCACGCCTGCCTGCGCACAGGGAGCCCTGCTCTGGCTGCCCTGTGGAGCCCAGCGCACAGGAGCTGGGACAAACATGGGAGCTTCCCTGATGGTCCCCCACAGGCAGGGGCCAGGCTTCCTGCCTCCAGCGCTGCAGCTACCGGCAAGGAGAGAGGTGACAGAGCCGGCATCATGCACACAGCAACTGTCTGCGCTCAGCTGTGTGATGCTGGGTGGAGAGGAGACGGGACAGGACAGGAGGAGGCCAGGGGACAGGCAGGCACTCACCAACCAGAATGAGGATGCACACCAGAAGCGCAATGAGGGCACCAGGGCTCAGCGTAGCTGACACGACGTAGGCTGTGCTGTTGCAGGACTGGATGGCTCCCAGCCACAGACGCGGATGGTCAGAGTCCCTGTGCTGCTGAGGGCTGGGGGGCCGCTGTCTACCACCAAAATGGGGAGCAAGTACACATCCTGCTCCTGGCGATTGAAGCCCATTCTCTGCGTGTGCACCGCAGCTGTGTTGTCTGCAGGGAACAAGCAAACCCACAGCAAAGTCACTCCCATAGCACAGCCATGAGCAACTCCACGCTCAAGACAAACAGCAGTTGTTTGTGCACCAGCTCCAGCAACTGCCCAAGGAGGGGACACAGCCTCCCTCCTCTCCATCACAGGGGAGCAGAGAGCCAGCTCATGGCTCCTGTGCACTGCAGCCCCTCAGCACCCCGAGCGCCTGGAGGCAGCCAGCTCCGTTCCAGCATGTGCCCCTTCGCCAGGCACCTCGGGGCCAGCCCAGGGCACGGCAAACCCAACACAGGAGCAACAGCATGTGGATGTCTGAGCCATGCTGACAAACAACCGTCAGAGCAGAGAGAGGGGGAAAAAACCTTCCGGAAGGCCCTCTGAGAGGGGCACAGAGCAGGAATCAGGATAAAAATCAGTTGCTGACATGGAGACCAGAGTGGATGGGGGTCTGCAGGTGGCACTGACCCTGCAAGAGCAGTTACTGCTTCCAAGCCCAAGAACCATGGGTGAAGGGTCCTGCCTCAGCCAGGGGGCCAAATACCCCTAGGATCCTTTGTAATTTCTGAAGGCGCAGGCAGAGCTCCTTCCAAGCCTTCCAGCTGAGCCAGACATCCTCCTCCCCATCTGCTCAGACCCTGCTGTTTCAGGGGCTCAGCCGGCACAGCATAACCCATTACGATCCCATTAACATGGCCACTTCATGGGACCCTCCAGGGCCCCGGTGCCAGAGACGAACCCAAGCAGCAGCTGTGCCCAGACGACCTGGAGCAGGGAGGGCAGGAACAGGGACCGAAAATCAGCTCAGCTCCCTGCTCATGTCTGCTACTCGCTGCTAGCCAGCAGCAGAGCAGGCAGGAAGAGATTGAATAGTAGTTGAACAATGGCGGCCAGACGTCAGAAGCTGCTGCCAACTGTCTGCAGTCTTTATCTAATAAAATGTAGATTGGCCTGCTCAGAGCAAGGTGCTGCTGTCTACAGACTCTCTCCTCATTGCACCTGATTTATGCTGGACTGGCCCTTTCTGTATCAATCAGCTCTTCGATCGGAGAAGACATCTATTCTAATTCTGGCTCTTGGGCTGTCTGCCACCACGGAAATTGCTGTATGGATTGGGTGCTGCACGGGAGCACATGTGGCATGGCAGGGACAGGAGACGAGGCAAGAGCAGGGCAGAGGGGCAGGGACATGCCAAGCCGCGGGTCAGGCAGATCCACCAGCCAGATGGGAAGCAGGGCAGATCCCGGAGGTGCTGTGCAGCAGCTAGGGCAGAGCAGAGCACAGAGCCCACCTCTCCCCTGGCTGCCCAGGGATGGGGGCTATGCAGTTTGGGCAGAGTCTGCCAGGGTCCCAGTGCTGAGCCCTCGCCCAGCTCTGCCAGTACAAACGGCAGAGGTGCAGACGATCTGCCCACAGGACTGCTGCAACCAACCCCTGCAAAGGCCAAGCAAGGGCAAGCCTGGTCCCTGCTTCAGGGCAGTCTGGAAGAGGAGGGGCTGGGGCAATCTGTGCCCCCCATGCTGACACGCCAGTGCAGAGGCAAAGCCCACCCAGCATGTGGTGGAGCCAAGCATGGCTAGGTGCAGCAGGAGTGAGGAAGATGGGCTCCCTGTGCCCAGAGGGGAGGCAGCAGTTGCACGGGCTTGTGCTCAGAACAGCACTCTGCTGTCACCGTGCTAAACACCAGATTGCTGCTTCCTATCGTCAGGTTTCTGGAGTCGGCCCACCAGAGTTTTCTGTATTACCAGCATACAGCCGTGTTCCTGGGGAGCGTGGAGCCTTTGGCACCCTAGCTGGGGAGACCCGGGATTCCAGCATAAAGGAGACAGGGTGAAAGTCACCTCTTCCAGTTCACCTGAGAGCACAGGTCTGCCGTGAAGAGCTCAACGCGGGAAAGGCAAAGACACCAGAGAGAAGACCATGCCAGCCAACCTTTGGAGGCTGCACTGAATGCCACAAGGGTGATATTCAAAACTAGATCTTATTCATGCACACAGAACTGTGCTGCAGGTCGCTAGAAAAAAAACTCTTCCTTTGGATATAGCATCTTTTATCCATTAAGGGAATTTTCCAGGTAACCTCACTCATCTCTGCTTGCAACAGCAGACTTCAGGCAGGCAACACCCTCAGGAGCACAAAGCAGATGACAGCAACAAGGCATGTAGTGATAGGACAAAGGGTAGTGGCTGTAAACTGAAAGAGGGTAGATTTTGATTAGATATAAAAAAGAAATTCGTCACTGTGAGGGTGGTGAGGCACTGGAACAGGTTGCCCCGAGAAGTTGTGGATACCCCTTCCCTGGAAGTGTTCAAGGCCAGGTTGGATGGGGCTTTGAGCAACCTGGTCTGGTGGAAGGTGTCCCTGCCCATGGCAGGGAGGTTGGGGAGAGATGATCTTAAGGTCCCTTCCAACCACACCATGCTATGAATCTATGAATACTTCTACAAGTCAATCAGGGAACAGTTTGCCTTGGAAGGGAGATGCTACATGCAATGTCAGCACTCCATCTGCAAGGCTGCAGCACCCAGCACCAAGCCATGCTTCGATGCAGACGTGATCTGAGTGCTGCAGCATCACCAGCCTGTGGTGGGGATTGCCCACAGCTGACAGCATGATCTTTCTGCACCACACACATTGCCTGGCTTCTGCGTACATGAGGCAGGGATCACCGACCCTCTGCCTGTGCAGCCACCTGGTCCTGCAGAACATCTGCCACCACGTCTGAGACTCCTGCAGCAGCACATGGCACCAGCACAGAGGCAACTCGGCAGAGCTGTCAGGAGGAGCAGGGGAGCCCCAGCTCCCCAGGCGGCAGGGAGGCTGAAGCAAGCGCAGCAGCCTGCCGGCAGTGGAGTCTGCTGAGAAGCTGCCTACTGCCTACCAAGGATGAGCTAGGGAAAAAAATAATCATTGTTATGCTAATCATTTGCACAAAGGTAACAAGATCTCATTTGGTGCTACTTCCTCAGCTTGCTGGAGCATACCAGGGAGATACAAATAACAGTAATGGCACCATCTCAGCAAGAGGCCAGGACTAACTCCTTAGCTTGCCCATAAGCCTCGGGCATCTGGATCCAGGGCAGATGAAGCCACAGGACAAATGGGACAGACCAACTTGCTGTGAGCGAGCAAGGCTGTAGCCCTCTGGTGCAGCAAGGTCGCCTTTGCTGGCACCATCACACCAGTCAGGTAACCAGCCTCAGCTCCTGGTCGGATCCTGGCTTGGAGGATCCCCGTGCACACAGCGCTTTACCTCGACATGCTGCTCAGCCATCTCTGGCCCAGGTCTGGTGAAAAGCTGTGCTTGGCAGCTCTCCCGGGGCTCTGCCCGGGCGAGCACCCCTTTAGTGCTGTGTAAATGCAGGCACAGCATCAGCTCCTCACCTCTCTGGAAATGCAGCAGAAGGCTGGCGACTCCCCTTCTGTTTACAGCCAGCTCCAGCTCCTGTTAGGGACCTGCCACAAGGCACACTGTGTTTTTAGAATCAGTCTTTAGAAATCAAGGGGAAATACATGTGCAAGTTGCAGAGAGGCAGCCACTAACCTCAGCTCAGACAGCATGTTGCGCTGCTGAGCCCCCTCACCGCCAAGTACAGGAAGGAGAAATATTTTCACTGCTGAATTCACAAAGCCAAAATAAAGCAGCCAGTACTTAAATATATCAGCAGCCCAACAGACAGCTCTGCTCTGAGAAACTTCAACTCAGGAGGGGGCTGAGGTCTTGCTCTGTAACCCAAAACTCGGTGCTAGGGAGAGAGACAAAAACAATAACTACAAAACACTATTTCAAATATCATGAAACTACATCTTCTCTATTGAACAGGGTGACGTGAGCACTTCCTACAGGAGGGAGATGCACAGAAATTTCATGTCTACACCTATGCCATTGCTCACTAAGGCTGGACAACCAGATCCCAGTCTAGCAGAGACCAGCCCCCTCCAGGCACCGAGACGGCTCCAGCTGCGTCCCTGCTGCCCACCCGCTGTGCTCCTGGCTGCCCAAGCACCCTGGACAAGTGTTTGCTCTGTTGGGTGTTTGCACCCGTTACTTGCAAACTTCTTCCGTTTCCCTTCCGAGATACTCCAGAAAAAGCAGTGCTGTTGCCATGCAATATAGTCTATTTGACCATAGAAGTGAAGAAAATTTTGGCTGTATCTGGGAAAACATATCCTGGAAAGTGCATCCAAAGCCACCTCCTACAAAACAACATAATTTCTCTTGGTACAATTGTTTCTCTGCATGAGGCTGACCCAAGGTAGTTCCTTCAGGATGTGTGTCTTGGCATAGGTTTGTTGTATCGGCACAGCCTGAGCATTGCAAAGAAAAGCCAGGCGGGCCTAGCCCTGCAGCCTCTCGTGTCTCTTCCTCTGTAGCAGCTTTCTGCTAACTCCATTTTTGGGGTCACAAGGTTGAGGAGCAGTGTTTCCCAGGAGGTGGTAATGAAATTTGAGCAGACATTAATCCACAGCTTTCTTGCACAGACGAGTTCGGATCTCAACACTTACATTTTTCTGCCCAGTCCTCGTGAGGTTGCACTTTGTGCAACGGTCACACCACTCTAAAGGTTGTGCCATGTGTTCTCTGAAGCCCCAAGCCAAACCATTTACTATCACTGCCATCTTGCTACACAAACTGACATTTCCTCCCCGGGTTTCCTATGCCACCCTCTCCCTGACCACAGAGTGATGTTATCCTGTGTCGCATCATATCACCTTGTGTGACGGACAGGAGACGGCACCTCTGCCTGCTTGAGAAGCAAGTCACCAGACAAGGCAGAAAACAACGTGAGTTGAGTGTGCAGGGACCTGTCAATAGCGCTGTAAGAAGAAAGTTTAGGAATGCAATATACTCTGGTGGTAGCACAGTATCACTAGGAATAATAAAATAATTAAGTCTCTCAGACTCCCTCTCCAAAGAGGCTCTTGGCAGCTTCAAAGACAGACCTAATAAATCCTTCTCATAACTCAATCTTGAACAGCGCTAGAAGAGCAGAAGGGAGCAAGCTACCTCCAGTTTGGATTTCGATATCCCTGCCCTCTCCCACACTCCTGGGGCCCCATGAGCATCTGCTTTCCCCTGCTCCAGCAGCTGTTCTGCAGCTCCGGTGCCCAGGCACGCCAGCTCTGGGGAGGAGCACACGGCCGGCTCCTGGCTGGGCCTGTGGCCACACTGCTGCCAGAGCTCCCCAAAAGGAGCAGACCCCCCTCCAGCCCCAGGCAGGTGCAGCTGGTGGGAGAAGAATCCCGTTTTTCCCTTTTGCCTCTTCCTTCTCCCAAGTTCTCTGGGTGCCAGGCCACAGCACCACTGCTGCTCATTTGCCTTTTTCTCAGTCCCCGCAGAGATTCAATGTTCTTTTTCACCCTCCCGTCAGATCAGCATCTGCGCTGCTCATGCTGAGAATGGCATCCCTGCAGGGCTGGAGGAGGCTTCCTCCATCCTGAGGCAATCCTCGAATCCTAACATTTTGCTTTTGATTGTTACAATTTTCAGATCTTCTATCACCCATTACACGCTCTTAATGAGACCTGCAGAGAGTTCAGACATCTGCTTGCCTAGCCCTTGAGCTCTGGAGTCAGTAGCTCCATGTGTCACTCCACATTATCTAGCACACCTTCCAGGTTGCTGGGCTTGGATGCTTTCTACCATCCCTTCCAACACAATTAGCATTTCTTGGAGAACATGATTTTACATTTAAATTGCCTTTGATCCTTCTGTAATCAATTTTCTCAGGCCAGAAAGACCCAGCAAAAGGTGAGTTAGGAGGCAGAGGACGGTGAGTGCCTTTGGAATGGCACCAGTTGGACTTGGGTGAGGTCAGCTTTTCCAATTCTACCTCTTCCTTTAGGCACTTCATTTGCCGGGCAACTTCCTTCTGGATCGCGGCCGTTGTTATCACACATGACATTTATTCCTCGTCTGATGAATTACAAAGTGCTTGAGCACTCCCTTGGACAGAGCAAAAGCAAGGAAAGAGATACCAGAAGCAAATGGCACTTTTTCTAAAAGTCTGACTCCTGCAAACCAGCTATAATTCAGCTAATGCAGTCTCCTGCAGGGTCACCTTTTGCTCTTGTATCTCTGACCTGGAGCATCAGAGCCAAGGCAGTCCTGTGTGCTACTGGGAGCTGACAAGCAAGGCTGCAGGTGTTAACTACAGGCACTTTGTAAGGGCCATCCCCACTCCATGCAGTTTTGGCTGCAGTGGGGCCTGACCCAGCAGAGTTTGGGCAAGCGGCAGTGTCGTGACTGCATCGTGGCAGTATCAGGCTACAGCAGACCTGCCCTGTGACCACTGCCATAAACCCACTTACTAACAGGTACTCTACAAGCTCTTCATCTGATGGACAGGCTGCCCCATCAATCACCCTGGCCTTTCCCTAAAACCCTCGCAGGCTTCCTCCATGCTGCCCACGAGGAGCCCTAGAAGAGCCAAGGCTGCGTTCAGCATCCTCTCTGGCCCTCCTGCGATACCCTGCCTGGCTCTGCTCCCACCCGTGCGACGGGGCTCTGCACTTTAACATTTAACTGACTCTCACTCCTTCTGGTTCCCCACCCTCCTGTGGGGTCAGTTTTGCCAGCGAGGTGCCTGCCCAAGCAGCCGCCCCCTGCGCTCCCCCTGCCCACTGGGGTGCAGCCTGCCGCACCCCCGAGGGAGCCACTCCACATTGCGGCCAGCTTGGAGCCTTGGACCCCTCTCCAGCAGCCCGCAGCTAACTCGCTACCCAGGCTCCCCACCTACCAGCCCTGCTACGGCCGGTGCTCTTGCCCTGCCTGAACTGTAATGGGAGCGTTCCCAAGCAGATGCTGGTCCCTGCCATGCTGACGACAAGTCACCCTCCTGAGGTGGCTTTCTGCTGCCTTGTAGGAGCTGAGGGAAGTGGGTGCAAAGCAAAAGAGAGAAGGATTTAAGCAAGAGCTTAGTGAATCCATCTGTGCTGACATCCATCAGTGTCACTCCTTGGCTGCAAAAGCAATATTTATAAATCACGTTTCAAAACTAGCTACAAATTTGTACAAAGAAACAGATGGGCTGGTGGTAGCAGTTTGTCACCACTGATGTTTATACGGAGGAGTAGAGACAAGTGCAAGAGGGGTGAACGCACGAGAGGGAGGCAAGGGGGGAACAAAGGAGGATGCAGCAAGGGAACCCACGAGAGCAGGGGGCGAAGGCACACCCGGGGTGCTCAATGGATTGGAGAAAGGGGGAGGGGGAGAAATCAAAGGGAGACACCACTAAAACACACACACATTAGAAATGAGAGGTGTCTCCATCTGCACAGGCAGCCGCCTCCTCTTGCTGTGGAAGACATCATCGCTTGGCAATTGGGAGGGTCTCCAAACACCCTGGGAATAACCCTGCAGCAACAGCATTTGTTTTCACAAGAGCAGAAGGCGGGAGGTGATGCCAGCTTTTACTCATTTTATGCAGTGTTGCACCACACGCGAAGTTTGTGGGATTATTTAGCACGAAGGATTACCCTGTGCGACAAGAGCCTCGTCCCACTCAAGAGAGCAGCAGCTCCAGAGGAGATGGCGGTGCATGAGCCTGTGTCCTGCACCCTCCTGCAATGCCAGCTCTTGGGTCGCTGCTGGTGAACCCCAGCTGCACAAATGAGGGGTGATCCCCACAAGGCACCAGGCAGCGAAGCAGCCCCCGCTGAGGTCCAGCCACCCCTGGCCAGGTCCCTCCTGCCAGCAGTGATGGCTCTAGGATTACAACCCAGCTGCAGCAGACATCCTGGCCCAGAGTAGGGAGCGCGGCCCTGGGCCCCTCGGAGCTTCTGGAGGGGTCCGGGTAGGGACAGACACCGGTGTGTAACTCAGCATGCTCAAGCACATTTTCAAAAGGTCCTTCAGAGAAAGTGAAGGAAGTTAATTGCTGGGCGTGGGGCAATATCTTGCAGAGGATTAAAGCTTGCTTACATGATAAGAAGCAAAGGTCTTGTGAACAGCTGCCCTATGAGCGCAGGGGGAGGGACTCAGGTCAGAGACAGCTGCATTTCTTAGGACTCAAAGCAATATTGGTCCTTCTACAATCACATCTGGAGCTTTTTGCTGCAAGTTCCATTTTGACTATCCCTAGTAATGCTGAACGAAAATGAACAAGCAGGATCTTACATCAGCAGAAGGCTCGTCTGATAAGCTCAGAAAAAAATAAATCAGAATTTTGTCAGATGAAGCTGCAAAAACAGAGAAAAAAAAGGTTTAAAAAAAAAACCAACAAAAATGAAGCAGCATTTCAGTGTTGTCTGCTGGCTTCCATCTAACCTGGCCCCTTTGACAAATAAGTGTACATCTGGCTGGAGAAGATCCCAGTATCTGGATGGGTTCCTGCTGTACTTACCACTGCAATCAGCTCCTAAATTCACCCAAAACACCAGTCAAAAATAGGAAGCAGTCTGATAACTATCTTTCTGGACTGTTATCGTCCACACAAATACAGCCTGACCTTACAGTCTGCAAAGCCTAATAGCAAAACCTGCATCACACCCCATCGGTTACAGCAGCAGGTGGGGATCGAGTCATCAGGAGCTGCTCCGCACAGAGGTGCAAAGAGGCCCAGAGCTTCCCAGAGGAACAGACGGGCCCTCCCCAGCTGCGTTTCCCAAAGGACAGGATGCGCCTCAGGAAACGCAGAGGAACTGTGCTCCTGAGCCACCACCTAACGGGGAATCTGTCTCTGCTGGCTGCATCCCAGATAACCCGCTACGGCAGAGGGCTGGCTCCTGCACAGCCCTGCTGCCTTTCAGACTCCTGAGCTACTCCCATTTGTCGGGGGCACAGGGGCTGCCCACCCGTGCAGTGGCCTTGGGATGACCCGTGCGCCAGGATTTACCTTGAAGAGGGATAAATCATAATCATAATGCTCAAAACGGGAGTGTGTTCATCTGGAAATCCGCATCATCTCCTTGCCTGCAGGCAGGCTGGAGATTTTACATCAAGAAAGGGACCGGGAGCTCTGAAAACACTAAAGGCTAACCACACAGCACAAGACGAGCTTTAGACCTGCCTGCAGCAGAGAAGCAAGCTGGCAGAACCTCCTTGAGGAAATCCAAACTGCTAGCTGACCAGTCCCACCATTTCAGGTTGGCAAGGAGCCTTGTGGAGTGCCCAAAGCATCCTGAGCTCCATCCAGCACAGATGGACCATAAGGCCACAGCCCCATCTCCCTCCCCATGGCCAGCTGTGCTGCTCAGCCTAGAGGCTGCAGCACTGGGAAGGGTGCAGCAGGGCTTACCCTTAACATCCAGCAGAGAAAAATGGTGGTTGTTGGTGGCTTCAGGTGCCAGTGTGAAGTAGAAACGATGGCCACTCTGAGGCTCATCACGGTCCACAACACTTATTGTCTGGATCAGCTGCAGGGAGAAACAGAGATGAGAATCAGTGCTGCCTCTGCAGCCCCTTCCACATCCCCGCTCGCAGGGTCCAGCCCAGCAGAGCATCACCGGCTTCTGCCACAACAAGGGATGAGCCTTTGCCCCTGTAGACAGGCTTAGCTGTAGGACACCAGCAAAGTGGATCCCAGTGTGACAGCAGCTGCATGGGAAGACGTTCAGGCAGAAGGGGAAGGACAGGCAGGCTGGCACTGGTCCGGAGCGCTGCACGCAGCACAAGACTGCTGCAGGCGCTGATGGAGACCTTGGAGAAGGGCTGGGGGACACTCGCTACCTGGCCTGGCTTGGCATCCTCACACACAGCAGCTTCATAGGGGGTGGCGAGCTCAGGCGGATTGTCATTCACATCCAGGATACGGATACGGAGAGAGGCTCTCGACACCTGTGAGTGATTATCTGAAACAAA